CCTAATATTGTTTAAAATTCAATATTTTTGATTAATTTATAAACAATTCTTTTCAATTTTAACGATAGAGAAGCGTGTAATTTATTCAAGTAGTGATGATAAATAAAGTGCTGATTTATCATTAGCAATTTCGTTTTATTTTAATAAATAAGATATTTAAGTTAAGAATTTCTAATCGACTAAAAATTACTTTTATTCCCTTTTTTCACTGACAATTAATTAAAATGTACAGATAAACTACAACAATTAAATGCCATTATTCAATAAAAGCTCAGTGAATCAAAAATATTTAATTTCGACAGTAAATGTAGCCTATATATTAAGGGTGACCCAAAATTCACTTAACCATATTTTTTGTGTCTCAAGTGTTTTCTTTTATTTATTTTTTCTTTTATACAACTGTAACCTATCTTGGTATAATTGGCTACAAAATAAGATAGAAATTTAGTCTGTGTAGACGGTTAACTGACTTTTGGGACACCCTTACATAGACTTTATTTTAGTTTTAATACAAGCAATTAAAATTTTTTATCTATATATATATAAATGGACATGTATGTCCCTATATCTCACTTTTCCGCCAAAACTACACATCGCACGTGAATGGTGTTTGTATGTGGTGGTAGCCCCAAGTCTCCATTCGTGCATAGGGGTGGTTGCGTCTCGATAGCTATAAGGGTGTGGGAGATATGAGGCTGAAAGAGGTTGAAAGTGGCTTTCTATTTCGAATGTTTTGTTCGATTTTTTCGAATTTGTTCGAATTAAATTCGAACATAAAATTCGAATTGGTTCGATTATAGAACGATTGAAAACGTTCCAGAAACGTTGAAATTTGTTCGTTTGACTAAACGTAAAAATTCTCTAATTAGTCTGGAAACGGGGGACCTAATTCTTGCATTCTGTGAAAACGGGTAAGATTGGCTATAATGTAATTATCTTAATCTTCACTATCGTTAGTTTTTGCCCAGCGAAGCGGGTCCTTGCAGCTGGATTCTAGATTACTTAGAAAAACAGTCTTTTATATATATATAAAACTATACTATTACGTACAAATAAAAACCCAGCGAAGCGGGATCTTGCAGCTAGTGATTTATAAAAATGGAAAAATTCAAGATTTTTTGATTTTATTGATTCTAATGATAATAAAAGAAAGATAATTTATTTTATTTTTAAAAAAGTTATTGTTAAAAATCAATTATTTTATAATTAAATAACAAATATTGAGTAAATTCAATATGATATATTCATTATTTTTTCTGATTTCTTTCTAAATTTGAAGATTAATCAATCGTAAGTGTTGCACTCGACACGAGGATCGCTTCCTAAATTACCTTCATTACAAATATCCAGCAACGGTTAATATTTTCCTAATAATGATAATGACGATAATAATAATAATAAATAAATACCGCAATTGAGCTTATGATAAATACTGCATTATTATTATTATTATTACAACTCATTATCATTTCGAATAATAAACGAGCAATTATTTATTGTGACAGGGCTGCAAGTTTTAATAATCTTTTAATTTAAAAAATGGCGTGACTTCCGGTGGAAGTCGCTCCTTTTTTCCATATATGGCCTCGATTTTAGTGTCGCTTTACCCCTCTACATCGTACTTCCGAAAACAATCGAGTCATGCCTGTCATCTATCTAACCTTTATGCTATAAAAACTTATAATATTTAAATTAATTTTGTGGGAAAAAATTTCTAATTTTTTAATTATTAATTTAAAAAGAAAAATATAGAAATTTTTATCTTTAATTGACGTATAATTTAAGAGAAAAATGAAGAAAAATAGCTGCCACCATTAGGAAAATTAATATATATTTTCTTTCGTTTTATTGAGTTATTTTATTAAATTAAGCAATTTTAAGCTATTTATAAGAAAGAAATTATTCTGTTATCCGTTCTATTCAATAAGATTGAGTAGGAGAAGAGGAGAGAAGAAGATGAAACTGTTCTCCAGATCGAGTGGTGATGATAACAACAGATGTGAACAAAACAGAATTGCGAGTAGAAAATAAATGAAAGAGAATAATCAAGAAAAATAAATAAAGAACAAAAATTACCTTAAAATTGCCTGTTAAAAAGTATAATTTAATCGCAGTTAACTTAATTCGTGTGTTAATTACACCACCCATTAACAACTATTTAATTTATTTATAGCATTCTGAAGAGTTAATATTTAAAAATAAAAATTAATATTTATTAAATACATTTTAATATTTTATTATAGAAAGTATATATAAATTAATAAATTAATTTTAATTAAGTAAAGTAAAAAAAAGTCATTAATTAATATAAACGATGAAGGATTATAGGAAGAAAATTTTAAAAAATAACAATAATAATTTGTAAAAAGTAAATGTACAGAATATTATACTTAAAACAAGATTTATAAATGTTAACATCACCCTTTTTTCTGTATAAGTAGCGCTTTAGAATTGATGAAGCGTACAATGTCAGATGCTGGAAACAGCTGCTCTCCTTTCATGTTTCTCGCCTTTAGTGAATCCATAAAAAAGTAGACATTACATTTTTAAAAATATCAAACAATGTATCTTAAAATTTACGCTTCAATATATTATTCAATTAAAATTTTAAGTCGATATTTTTATTTATAATACTTTCTCCTTTACTGATGATAATGCTGATCACAGCATCCGCATCAGTAAAAAATGATCATGTATCGTTGAATTTATCATTTTTAATTCATTTCTATAAAGAAAATCAATTTGAATTAGTAATTTGGGGTTTATTTTTTATTATGTATTGTGTGATATTTTTATGTGAATCACGTTATAAACAAATATTATAATGGAAAAGATAATTGTTGATAAGGCAAATTTCCTTTATTGATTTTATACAATAATTTGTTTTAAGTTAGAAAAAACGTTTCAGTTAATTTTTTGGCTGAATTTAGAATAATTTAAATCATTTTTTACCTTATTTTTCCTAATTTTCTTCGTTATATCGAGCAATTTTTATGATTTATATCGGAGTATTCGTTTTTGCCGAAAGGTGGCATTTGTTTTTCTTTAAAAGTGTGCTTGTGGCTAAGAAGTGTTGGGAGACTATCCACATTTTGGATAAGATAATTGAATCCTTTTTCTTTTATAGGTGGGTGTAATTAATGTTTTTTTTTCTTTATATAATGATGTTTTTGGTTGGATAGTTCTCCCCATGATGATTTTTTGTTATTATGTTATATGTTTATATTTGGATATTTGGCTTTCAGATATTTATTTTCAGATATTTATTTTTGATGTTTATAATAATACTTGTATAATTTTTGTTTTGATTTATGTATATGTTAATTTTCTCTGTAATAATGGATGGATGATGATATTTTTTTGTATAATGTACATGTAACGAATTATTGTATACCCCGCATCATGGGCTCTGCCTAGTATGTCTAAATAAATAAATAAATAAATAATAAATTTTTATGATTTATAGCAAGACGTCAACTTATAAAGTTGACTGCTAACAGATGCAAATTTCCTTTATTGATGTCACAAATAATATCTTTTTATATAAAAATATAGGCCTAATTTAATTAATTTCTGTACATGATTTAGCATCTGTCGAATAATTTTTTTTTGTTTATTTTTCCTGATTTTTTTCCTTTTTTCAAGCCAGTTTTATGGCAATATCTTATTGCACAGTATAACATATAATAACAGCAGAATTCCTGTACTAATTTAATAAAAATATTAATTTTTGTATTATAAATCACTTTAGTCCATTATTCTATGTGATTTTAAATCAAATTTAATCTTATTTTTACTAATTATCTTCCATTCTTTGACCAAATTTTATAATAAATCACATTAATAATAAAGTTTTCCACACGAAAATATCTCGAGCATTCTTGAATACGGAGAAAACCATATTGATATTTGTAATATAACAGTGTTTATTAGCATATATGTAATGATTTATTTCATAAAATAAAAAAAAAACTTGATACTTCCTGTTTAGAGGTTGAGCAAATTGATTTAAGTGGTTTGTAAATGGAAGAGAATCATAATCACATCACCATACATCTACTAAATCCATAAAACAAAAGATTGCCTATGATTTATCACACGTTGTAAAAACATAAATGCAGCTGTATTGGCAAAAAATGGCAAAAAATCATTCATTCGTACAAATAAAATTGACAGATTCGTTCAAGAAAAGTACTTCTTGTCGATCAACAACTATATTCAACTCCCGAGGGCATAACTTATTCATATTATTTCACAAGCAATACTTTTTTGTGAACTTTTCCAGTTCTTTCACAAGCAATCTTCGACCTTTTTTCCACGTAATTTAAAACGAGAATATTGAATTTCGCTTCCTATCAAAGTTCAGAGTAATTTTAATTTATAAAACTATTTAAAACTTTAAAAAATATACAGTGAATTCAGCGTATTTTAGTACAGTTCACTATACTAAAAATCCATTGTAGAATAAACCTGTATAAACTGGACTCGCGCTTTTTCCGGTTTGGCAGGTTTTACTGTCTATAAACCTTGCAAAAAAAAAGAAATTATTTATTTATCTTATATTATACATAGGCAAATCCTAAAGGAGACAAGAGATTACACTCTTACGTAACGATAAAACACCTCCTTCATCATCAAATATTCAAATTAAAACAATTAACTTTTCTACAGTAAGGTTAATTAAATATAGCCAACACCCGATATAGTGAATATTCGATATAGCAATTATATTTTATGTATATAACTTTTGTTATAGCGAGTGATTCAGTCGGTCTTTTTTGCCAGTTCGATATATCGCGAGTTCGTAATTAACTTTATTAAAATATGTCATTTTTCATACAAGAACAAACCAATTTTAATAATTTTTAAACATTTTAAAGGCAATTAAGTGGTACGCTGGCGAGACGAAAAAGAAAAACACGAGACTCCCACACACGCACACTCGCCTGTTTAATCTCGAAATAACGTTTGAAGGACATGTACGACAAAATAGCCATAACAATCTTGATTCAATCTTGTGTCAATCGGTGACGAAATATTTCTTCCATCGGAAAATAAAAAGAAAAGAGAAGAGGAGGGAGAGTTAGTTTGATCCAACACAATCTCTCGCTGCCATAGCAACGACTGCGGGACTCACCTGAACCCATTCAAACCGCATCGTGCATCTTCCACGCATGCTCTTACATTCTCCATCCACATCTACAACGTTCAGTCGGCCAAAAGCATCAGCACATTTTGGCCAAACTGACAATCCATGGCTCCCGTTGGCCGTGTTTGCAACGGAAACATCCAGGCAACAGGACAGATGTGGGTAGTTTTCTTAGTTTGGACATCGACAGTCAATTGCGGCGATTGGAAGTCGCATGGAGGTAAGAAGAGTCGTTGGTTGTTGGTGACACCTGATGGTTTAGAAATTTGTCGATGTATTCTCTCAGGTGAGGATGCTCGATCGATCCTTACATTCCCGAATGAATGTGTCAAACGCATATTATTTTCTTATGGAGCGTGTGATTTCACTTACAAACTCATTTTATGCTTTTTTACTTAAATCTACTTTTTTCACGATTTTATTTCTTTTATTTTATTTGTGTAAAATTCAAATTCGTTGTAGAGGAGTTAAGAGTTGTATGCCAGTTGACGACTGCATTTTTAAAACGTGCCTTAAAACTTGGATAAAACTTAATATTTTAGACGGACTAAGTATAAATTTTATTATTTCAATCATTTTTCTTCGTGTTTTTTAATTAAATTTGCGTTAAAATCTCTTTAATACCGCAGGGAAGCGTGCAATAAATTGTTTTTTAAGTGATAAATTAAGATAAAATTTTAAAAAATTACATAAATATTCACTTCTAAATCGATTCTTTTTAATTGTAAAAATGTAATTTTTTATAATTTATCGAATTATTTTACATGAATTTTTTAATTAAAGTAATTTTTTATTTTATTACTTTATGTTAAATTTAAACGAATTAAGACCATTTGTGATTTTAAAAGATATTCAGTTTGTTTATTTAAACAATTTTCTAATATAAAAAATAAATATTTATTCGCAGTAATTAATAAAAATATTTATTTTATGTAATTTAAAAGAAATTAAGTCAATAAAAGTGTATATATTAATTAAAAATAATAAAATTTAAGAAAGTTTTTTTAGTATTTATAAATTAAAATATTATTTCATCTAAAAACATATAAAACATCTAAAAATACGTTGAATATTAAAAATTAAATAAGTTTGTATTAANGAAAAGTATAGAAACGTTTTCAGAAAACATGGTGTTATATTAGCAGCCAAACTAAAAAGTAAAATAAAAACATCATCAATATCATTTAAATTAAAATAACGAAATACTAAACAAAGCAGGAGTGGTATATGAGGTAAAATGTACATGTAAAAAAACCAGCAATATACATTGGAGAAACAAGAAGGCAACTAAGAACCAGAATAAAAGAACATGAAGCAACAATTAGACTTAATCAGCAAATACCATTCTTAAAAATATAATTTGTTTAATTTTATATTAAAATTTAGCTAGAATTTATATAAAATTCAGCAAATTTTACACTAAACTTTATTTTTATTCTATTTATTTTCAAAAATTTACAAAAATTGAATACAGTAAAGTACACGAATGTCATTCTTCCCCTCGCGAAACACAAATAAAAAACTAAAGGGCCTATAATTTAAATTTTAATCGTAAAAGGAGACAGAAATAATAATAAAATAATCAAATTAAGTGCAAAAAGGAACCGAATAAAAATTTTATGCATTGTTTTTTTTATAGAGGGTGGCTCAAAAGTCAGTTAACCGTGTATTACGCTTGTTAAACGTGACTCGTAAATTGAGTTTAGAACAACGTGTTTTCCATTCAAAAACTTGCTGAAAACATAATTAAAATATAATTAAGTATTTGAATAAGACAAGAATTTAGCCTTACAATTGTTAACTGATTTTAGAGCCATCCTTTCTTAAAGTCATCCTGAAAGAATAGATACGAATTGACAGTTTACTTCTTACGTCATAACTGTCAAGTTATTCATTGCGTTAAATACAAACTTGAAAATAAATCGATATTTATAAATAGTTACAACGGTTAACTGATTTTCGAACCACCCTTTATAGCTAATACATAAAATTCTTAGAAAGAACAGATAGGGTTGTCAGATTTTCTTACGCTGTAACTGTCAAGTTGTTCATTGTGTTAGATATATATTCGTGTAGGAAAAAAATCTATATTTGTAGAGTTTGATGGCTGAATATCTGTTAAGATAAAGCATTTATTAACTATTTAATAACCTTCAATGAATAAATGAATATTTGTTTTTTCCCCTGTGTGAATTCAGCATCTTGCTCTTCGTTATCCTTTGCAATAATCACTGAGTAAGAAGAAGAATGAGAGGAAATGAATAAATAAATTTACGATTCATTTAATATTAATCGCATTATTTGTTTTATTCTTTATTTAATGGCAATAAAATTCATTTATGTTCATTTTAAATACAATTAATCATTAAATTAAATTAATAAGTTGATTTTCTTCTTACTTTTCCTCGATTTTTAATATAAAATTTCTTGATTTCTTGATTTTTAATATATATAGACCTATATATATAATTAAGTTTATATATATTATATTTATTTAGTTTATCAACTTTGGCATTTTTCCATCTAAAAAATCTGAAACTTTAAAAGTAAATAAGAATAAATAAATAAGAATTTCTCTGAATAAATAAATTTATATTTAACAAGAGTTATTAAATGTGTTTGTTGATAGTTTTGTAGAAAGATAAATATGTTTAAAGAGTAAATTTTTTTTAATTAATTGAAATTTTAAAAAATTTATACATTAAATTAAATTTATTAAATTCATTTATTAAAATGGTAAAAATTTGCGCTCAATTTTAAGTTGGAGCGATAGATCTAACGTTATGTCTATAGTTTAATTTGAAACTGTACGGTAAAACCTGTCCAAAACGTAACTTGGATAAACGGTAACCCGCCTAAACAAGAAAAATTATTCGGAACCGAGCGATTTTCTGTGTTAAAAGAAACCTGCCAACTGGAAAATATATTCGGTACTGTCTGATTCCTATTTCACTGTACTTTAATAATAAATTTTAGTAAAACCTGCGTAAACCGGAATAGCATGGATCAAATATTTTTTCGGTTTGGCAGGTTTCCGTTTCGAACAGGTTTTTTTTTAAATATAAGAATATCCGTTCCGAAGAATTTTATCCGTTTAGACAGTTTTCCGTTTTATTCGGATTCCATTTTAGACAGGTTTTACTGTTTCTTTTTAAAATCAATTTTTCAAAGAAATTTTTCCTGAAAAAAATTGATGAAACTTCATGGGTTAATTCTACAGAAATAACCACCGGTTTTTTGTCTGCACCGCATTTAGTCCGATTACAGTAAAGAGAAATATATTCATAACAGCAATAACTAAAATTTGGAGCAGAAGAAAGAGAAAAACAAAAAAATAAGCTAATAAATACCTTCATATTGAACGACTATCCAAGCAGATTACTAAAAAAGTGGATAAATGCATTTAAGAAAAACAGATTCAACGTTAAAAATAAGAATGAGAACACTACATATAGGTCGTTCCCCTATATTAAGGGAACATTTGAAAAATATAGAAAAGTTTTCAGTAAGTATGGTGTTACACTAGCAGCCAAATTAAAAAATAAAATTAAAAACAACATCAACACAAATAAGTTTAAAAATAACGAAATACTAAACCAAACAGGTGTAATATACGAAATAAAATGTACATGTAAAAAACCAGCGATATACATTGGAGAAACAGGAAGACAACTCGGTACCAGAATAAAAGAACATGAAGCAACAATTAGACTTAATCATAACCAATGACCGCGGACAAAGCACTGTAAGGAATTCGGATGCACTATTAACGAAAAAAGTGTAAAAATAATACATAAAGAAAAAGACAGTTACCTACGAAAATTCAAAGAGCAATTCGAAATTGTTAATAAAAGCAAAACCATAAACTTAAATGATGGAATGGAGGTTGACAACGTGTGGGAGGAAATGGGAAAGAAAACAAAAAGAAGGGAAAACGGTCTAAAAATGCCTTAGGGGACACAACATCAACACTGGACAGATGTAAGTCTAAACTTAAAACAGGTTAGTTAACTATTGTATAAATATATCCAAATAACTATTGCAAATGTAATAGTTGAATTTACCAATATATAGAAATGTAAAAAAAACCTGAAGAGAGGTGCAAGTGATACGAAAATATTGGACCCGAAATGCAGAGTAAGTAAGAAAATAAAGAATACGAAGATAAGATATTGTCTCTGATTAATTAATAATTATATAAATGTGGTCCAGGCAAAACAACGGCGGTTATTTCTGTAGAATTAACCCATGAAGTTTCATCAATTTTTTTCAGGAAATATTTCTTTGAAAAATTGATTTTAAAAGGAATATAAAGAAAACCGCACCATCGATATATATATATATATATACACATATCTATTACTTATAGGTTTTACTGTATTTTAAAATTTTTTTATAATTTAATCGAAATTTTTCCAAAAATTCAAAATGTTTTTCGTATTATTTTATATTTTATTCCTTGACATTTAAGCCAAAACCATGTTAATATATGATAATATTAAGTTTATGGCTTATTTTTCAAAATGTGTAATAAAATATACTACTAAAATTTATTATTAAAATACGCTCACATTTTAAAGATAATTTTATCAAAAAATATTCCCTAAAATATGGGGATTTTTAAAGTATTTCTTCACGTCACATCTATCGCTCTAATTACAAATTACGGAACATCTTTTACTGAAAAACATTTAAATTTTAAAAATCGCTAAAATTACCTGAATTTTTGGGGATTTTTCCGGTAAAATTATGCTTTAATTATCGGAAAAATTTATAAAATTTCAGGTAAGTTTAGGAATTTTTAAAATTTAAATGTTTTTTAGTAAAAGTTTAGGGATAAAAAGACGGAATTTTAGGGAAAATTTCGAAAATGATCTGAATTTTTAGGGATTTTTAAAGATTTTTTCCTTTTCCCGNACAATTAAAAAATAAAAATTATAGATAAATGTTATAATGGAGCAAATGCAAATATTAATAAAATTTATAATTAATTTGCTATATAAAGAGGAAAAATTACAAAAAAAGAAAAGAAAAAGGAAATATCAACAACTAAAATTTATTATTAAAATATGTTTTCGTTTTAAAGATAATTTTATCAAAAAATATTCCCTAAAATATGGGGATTTTTAAAGTATTTCTTCACGTCACATCTATCGCTCTAATTACAAATTACGGAACATCTTTTACTGAAAAACATTTAAATTTTAAAAATCGCTAAAA